AGCTTCACCAGTACCAGTGTGTCCACCTCCGGAGCTGTTAGTCTGGGCACTCACTGCACGGCACACCGAGCTTCTGCAGGCACCCAGTGCCTAGGTCAGACATACCAAGGCAAAGGCCCCTTCAGGTAGCCAGGATCGCCACCCCGGGCGTTGCAGGAAGACGCGGAACAGCCAGAAGAGAACCAGAGCCTCTTCCAGAAAGCACATGGTGACTGGCCCTGAGTCACAGTGCATCCCTGCGCTGTGCTGCGGGCACAGCCTGGCCTCCCAGGGCAGGTGCCTGCAGACGTTGGGGTTTAGCTGAAGGATGCCCCAAAAACAGGGTGCAGAGGAGCCCTGGAAGGACTCTCAGGAAGATGTGACATTGATCTCCAGGACATCTCACCATGCCCACCGCCTCTCTCCTATTTGGGTCCTACACTGCTACATATTGCTGAGGGCTGCCCCCCCCGCTGTCCTTGCCCCCACTCCTGCCAGACAGGGTGGGGATGCTGCTCGCTCCCATCCCTCCTCCCCAGCCTGGAGGAGCGGAGGGTTTGGGCCACGCTCAGGCAGAGCAGAGGATGTTTGTTTGGTTTCCTTGGTTACTGCACTGCCTGCTCCAGTAATCATATTTTCCCTGTGCCGGCTGGGCCAAAAGCAGCAGAGGAAATGTGGAAGGGCTGAGGTCAAACACCAGCCTGGGAACAGCCGGAGCCACCAACCACGGCCCCTCTGTGCCATTTGGCTCCTTGCTGTTGTGGGTACCCAGCTTGAAAGGGAGATACCAGACCCAGGGATGCAGCAACGAGCTCCTTCAGCAGCAGCTCGAGGGCTCTCATCGCTCCCTCCCGTGCGAGCCGGGGACACAGGCACCGGCGCTGAACTGCAGGAGGAATTAGAGGAATGAAAATGTTTGTGCAGGCAGAAGCCAAGCTGGCTGTGCGAGCGGGGGATGCGAGCGGGGGAGCCTGCGAGCGTGGGTGCGGCTGTATTTATAGCGACGGCAGGGACGCGCGTGTGCAGGGGTGACGGGGGTGCTGATGGCTTGTATTCCTCCTGCATCCCCTCAGCCCAGAAAGGCTGGAGCACTGATGGCAGTTCCTAATGATCAGAGGGATGGAGCACCTCTCCTAGGAAGACAGGCTGAGGGAGCTGGGATTGTTCAGCCTGGAGAAAAGGAGGCTCCGGGGAGACCTTATAGTGGCCTTTCAATATCTGAAGGGTGCCTATAGAAGAGCTGGGGAGGGACTCTTTGCCAGGAAGGGTAATGATAGAACAAGGGGAAACGGTTTTAAATTGGAAGAAAAAAGATTCAGATTAGATATCAGGAAGAAATTTTTTACTATGAGGGTGGTGAGACACTGGAACAGGTTGCCCAGGGAAGTTGTGGAAGTGTTCAAGGCCAGGCTGGATGTAACCTTGAGCAACCTGCTCTAGTGGGAGGTGTCCCTGCCCAGGGCAGGGAGGTTGGAACTAGATGATCTTCGAGGTCCCTTCCAACCCAAACCATTCTATGATTCCTATCCCTGAGAGTTTCCCTTGCTTGTTAGCCCACAGGCAGCCCTCTGTTCTGTAGCAAGAAAACTGAGACTTGAACATGTGCAAACCGTGGCTGATCTCATAATAACACCCTTCCCCACCTCGATAATTCAGTTCAGCAGTGCTGAACGCAGCTCATCAGCTTCCCCACTCCTGGCTGCCCTGCATCTTGGAAGCGAGATCTGAGGCTCCAGCACAGCAAGTGCTGGTGACGCTGCCGTTCCGGCGTGTAACAGCTATTCACAGTGACTAAATCAATGTGCGCTGGTAACGCCGAGCAGAAGGGAATCACCAGCCCTCCAGCACGGCCGTGCCGCGTGAGCTGGGACAGGCAGAAGGGCTCAGACAGCCCTGCCTGGTCCGACTCCCCTCACCTTTCTCCCCAGCTGACATGGAGCAGGCACAGCGAAGCCTGGATGCGGAGCAGATGCAGCAGCAGCAGCTGAAGCTACGGGACCGGCAGAAGTTCTTTGAAGAGGTTTTCCAGCATGAGGTGGATTTCTTCTTCCCTATGTCTCACCTGCAGATAGAGCATCGGAGACGTAAGTGCTGCGGGCACCAGCACGGGGCCGGGGGTGTTTCAGGGAACAATGACCCCGGCGTTAGAGGTCGGTGGGACACCCTCAGTTTAAAGGCAGCTGGGGACACACATGTCCTGCGCTGAGACAGGACCACACAGGCTGCGTGTGGGTGTGCTGGGGATTACTCACACCGCGTAACTGAAGTCACTGCACATGGGTACCCAGGCTGGCGCCCTGTGTAGTCACTGGCTTCAGACAGGCTCCTCCAGACAGCAGTTTGGGGCGGGGACAAGGACTGCAGCGAGACAGCAGGGGCTTCCAGAGGGATGTTTTAAAGTAAAGATGATTTTCCTCGGGGCCTCTTACCAGCAAGTAGAATTCAGTTCCCTCCCTCCTCGGGGTCCTGCCTGCACACAGGGCTCACAGTGCCCTTTGCCTGGCACTAAGCACTCATCTTCTCACTGGCCTCTGTCTTTGCAGCCCCCTTAGGCAGCATTTCCTCCATGGAGGTGAACGTGGACATGCTGGAGCAGATGGACATGATGGACCTGTCAGACCAGGACACTGTGGATGTGTTTCTGGGCTGTGGGACAGAGGAGAGCAGCGTTGCTGGGCCCCTGCCAGGTACGTGCAGTCCCCAGCCTGTTGCAGGCCAGGCTGGGAGCCCTTCCTGCCCCCGGTGTTCCTCAGCCCTGGTCACCCTGCCTGCAGATCCACCTGCACCCATACAAAGACAGCCACTGGGGTCTGTGAGGTTGGAGGATCTCACCCTGGGCTGCTCGGTGTCAGTATCCACCTCCACAAGCCCAGAGGTACAGACCCCTGGCAAATACCTTATGCTGCAGAAGACAGGAGAGCCCAGGCACTTTCCAGAGTCCATGGGATGAATTCTCTTGTCCTGAAGCTCCTCTGGAGCAACCAGTGTCTTGTCATGATTTCCCAGGTCCCCACAGCACCGCAGAGCTCACTGTGATGAGTGAGAAGGCTGCAAGACCTCTCCAGCTGCCAGCCAGCCCCAGGGAGCTGGGCTTGGGTCCCTCAGGGAAAACCCGGGGTGCCAGCACCTTCCTCCCCACGTACACACACCGTAGTCATTCACCCAGGCCAAGCTGAATGTCTCCTTGCCTGCTGCAGCCAACGGCCTCACACAGCATGGCTCTGAGCCGCGTTTCACACGAGATGGAAAAGGCTCCACTGCCAAAAACAGGGAAGGAATGTGCGGCAGCGCCCAGAGTCAAGCCGGGGGTGTGAGGTGGGGACAGCCACACGGGGAGCAGCCTGCCTAGGGACAAGACACGTGTGTTGGAAGGGCTGTCCATGAGGCTTAGGGAGCAGTAAACCTCCAGAAGCCTTTTTCCTTCTCTTACCGCTCTCTCCTCCAGGGGCAGATGCCAGCCAGTGCCCAGAGGAAATCACCCTGCAAGTGCCCAACGCAGCCGAGAGCAAGTCACGCATTTCCTCCACGTCCTCTGTCTCCACGGATCTGAACAGCCTGGACACCAGCGAGGAGGGGGCCGAGACCCCCGTGGTGCAGTCGGATGAGGAGGACCTGCAGGAGGACAGTCCCAAAGAGCAGGTGGCAACAAGCTAGCAGCCAGCTCTGCCCCACTCCCAGCCTCCTCTGTACGGACCTGCCAGCCCAGAGGAAGGAAAGCTGCTGGCGGCCAGTAAACCCCATCCTGGACTGCTGCCCGGCAGGAGGGGAGAGGTGGTTTTCCCCTCCTCTCCCTCTGCAGGTTCTCCTGGCAGCCAAATGAGAAGGAAAGGGGTGTTGTAAACTCCCAAAATTAACTCTTCAGGCTTTGCTGCTAACACTCCCTGCTTCACCCCCCCTCCCCCCCAAAATGCTCAGCATCTCACAGCCCCACCATTCCCAGAAAGCCATCCCTTGGGATCCCAGCTCCCCCTGTCCTACTGACAAAGGTCCTGTCCAGACAAGCATTTAACGATGGCGTACAGAGAAATAACACTCCGATCTAAACAAGCAGCAGGTGTGTGCTTTATTGGGAGAAAACAGCACCGAGGGTGAAGGTTAGGTGGGGATAGCAGGAGGGATGAGTGGTGTGAAGCCAGTGTGCTCAGGGTGCCAGGCAGGAGCAAATGAAGCCCAGCTCCAGCACAGAGATGATTCTGGCACCCAGGGTGGGAGCAGACAGCACGTACCTCGGCAGAGAAGGGCTGCTGTTAGTGGCACAGGTCACCACACTGAGCAATTTGGGCGCTGCCTCCAGGAGGGAGAGAGCCAGCGGGGCTGCTGGTGGCCTGTAACTACCGGCCACAAGGACAGGGTGGTGATTTCCCAGGCAAATCAGCTGAGTGGAGAACACAAGCACACACAGCACCAGCAACCGCTGCTCCTCCAGCACCCCACGACGGCAGCAGCCCTGGCTGGAGGCTGCTTGAGAGGAGCGAAGGAAGAGCCATCAAAATGAAGCTACTTTGCAGCCTCCTACGCTTGCTCCCTGCAGGAGTCGGGCACAAAGCTGGCCAGAGGCCCACTGCCACTATCAGTGGCTGCAGGCCAGGAAAGTGCTGTCCCTGCTTGGGCTGTGTCAGCACAACCGTGGTCACCCCCACAAGGAAAGCAGCCTGGGAGATAAGTAGGAGAAGCCAGGGAAAGCTCTGCAGCCCAGCGGCTTCCCAGGGGATGTTCAGACCTTCCTGCACTCCCTCCTGCGTCAGCCAAATTCTTCGTGAGACCGGCTGGAAGGGCTGGCCAGAGCGGGAGGTGGTGTGAGCTCCACGGGGCTGCCACCCCCAGCGCTGCCTGGCTGCGGCTGCAGTTGGCTTCCTCCTGGTGGCAGCCGGTGGAAGCAGGGTGCTTCCGGAGGGCTCTGCACCCAGAGATAGATGCTGCCATCCAGAAAGGAGACGCCAAGGAGAGAGGGAGAGCAGGCAACGGCGGGAAGAGCTGAGAAGAGGAACTCAGGGATGTGTGCCTGTGTGCCAGGGATGAGCACACAGTCCTTGCCAGGTGCTTGCGCACGGCAAAGCCTTGCGGCCAACCGCCCAAGCTCGGGCTGCCCAAGAGCTTCCCCAGGTTTCAAAGTCGGAGGAGGGAGCCCTCGGGGAGGGCCCCACAAAATGGACGCCCTGGCTCCAGGCTGGAGTGCAGGGCCCCGGCTGCTCTCCCTCGGCAGGCACAGCCAGGCGGGCACTTTTCCCCCGGGGCCAGGACAAGCTCCGGTGTCCGGGCCTGCCCATTTTATCCGCCAGCCCGTGCGGGAGGAAAACCCCCGGCGGCGGCGGCCGGGCCCTCACCGTGAGGGAAGAGGAGGAGGAGGCCGGGCCGGGGCTGCGGCGGCGTCGCGTCTCCATGGCAACGCCGGAAGCGGCCGCCATTGGCCGGGCGACCGGAAGCGGAAGTGCCGGGCGGTGCGGGAGCGGAGGGATGCTGGCGGCGGCGGGGCTGCCGCTGCTGCTGCTGCTGCTGGCGGCGGCGGGGCCGGGGCGGGCGGAGCGGGATGAGCTGCGGGAGGAGCTGCTGCTGAGCCCGCTGCCCGACGGCGACGTGGCCGCCACCTTCCAGTTCCGTACGCGGTGGGACGCCGACCTGCAGCGGGGCGGAGGTAGGGCGGGGCGAGGGGGCGGTGTGTCGACCGGATGTGACGGATTGCACGGGGGCGATGACGTCACGGGGGCGAGTGATGTCAGAGGCGGGAGGGTGAGCTGCGTTGGGGGGTTGCTGAGTGAGCGGGAACGGGGAGGTGACATCAGCACAGAGGGGCTCAGCGCGGTGATGACGCAAGCGGGCTGTGTGTGATGACGCGATCAGAGGGTAGCGCCGAGAGATGACGTCACGTGTGGGGGGGAGGCGGGGGGGAGGGCAGGGGCTAACGCTGCCCGCAGTCTCTCACTACAGGCTCTTCCCGAAGGCGCTGGGGCGGCTGGTGGCGGCGCTGGGCGTGCGGGAGCTCCACCTCGCCCTCACCCAGGGCTTCTGGCGCACCCGGCTCTGGGGACAGCCGCCCCTGCAGGCACCCGCCGGCGCAGAGCTCTGGGTCTGGTTCCAGCCCACCGTCACCGAGTAGGTACCCCGGCTGCAGGTGATAGCATCACAAAATGCTATGGGGTTGGAAGGGACCTCTGGAGATCATCTCGTCCAACCCCCTGCCAAAGGAGGTCCACCCGGAGCAGGTTGCGCAGGAACTCCAGGGATGGAGACTCCACCACCTCTCTGGGCAGCCTCTTCCAGGGCTCTGCCACCCTCACACTAAAGGAGTTCCTCCTCACGTTTACGTCTGTCCCTCTGGGTCCCCTCTGCAGCTCCTGGGAGCCGTTGCCCTTCTCCCACAAGGCAGCCACGCTATGTGCCTCCTGGGTTGGAAAATGGGTCTATAACCCCAGGAGCAGCACTAAGGAAAAGCAGGATGTAGCCTTGCTCAGTGCGCGGGGCAGGATGTGGTGCTGAGGGGAAAAGCCTCGTTCACTAAAGGAACAAGTAATTCCCTTATGGGCTCTGTAATGACAAACCCCTCGCTGCAGGGGTTGTATCTTGGCCTCTCATCTGTGACTCACTTCCTTTGACTCCCATCCAATACCTGTCACCACCTCCCTTAGCACACAGCCCCTCTTCCAGCCGCAGTGTGGACTCCCAGACCTCTCTCCTCCCTTCACGTGGCCCGTTCCAGGTCTGCTGGTCGGGTCAGCCTTCAGAGCCTGACCAAAGTGTTGCTTTAGATCTCACAGCCTCTTCCCCATAAACCACACACCACCTCTCACATGCTCCCCGCTCTCCGAACCCCTCTCCTCGCACACCAGCTGTACCCATCACCAGGTTCCCTGGCTGCGTGAAGCCCTGCCAGCCCAGGAGAACGTCCCCTGAATCTCATGTGTTAGAATAAACTGGAGAGTGCATGACCAGCAGCCTCTGGCTGCACACTCCTTGCACCTTCTGAAAGCCAGGGTGGTCACCCTGGTGTATTTATTGAATGTTACTGACTTAATGTTCTGAGGATTCGAGCTGCTGAGTAACCTCTGGTATCTCTTCTCACACAGTGTTGACAAAGCCTGGAAAGAACTGAGTAACATCCTCTCGGGAATATTCTGTGCTTCTCTCAACTTCATTGACTCGACCAACACAGTCACACCGACAGCATCCTTCAAACCCCTGGGCTTAGCCAACGGTGAGCCTGGCCTGCGTTTGTCTGCCCAGTTCTGCCCTCTCACCCTTGCCTCTAGCTTTAGTTCTGCCCCGTGCTGCTGCGGGGAGTCCAGGGACAGGTCCTGCTGTGTAACAACAGGGTCTGTTAACCTCCTCGTGGAAGAATTTCTTCTCCCTATGAGTGGGGCTTGGATTTGAACAGAGGAAACCCATGAGCAATATGTGGCGGATACTCCCAGGCCCTCATCTGTCTGTCTGAAAAGCATTTTACAAAACAGTGAGGACTGGAAGATTTAAGGTGCTCATGAAAAAAATTCTGCTTTCATATTCTTCCCAAATCACTCTAAGCAGAGTGGGATCCGTTCCTGATGGAGCTGTTAGCATTTCAGAGATACTGAGAGGGTGGTGGGCTCTGGGGCACACTGGGCGGTGGAACAGGCCTGCTTCTGGCTCTCCTGCCTGTAGCAGTGCCAGCCTGTTGACCCTCCACCTCCCTGCCCAGGGACAGACCACCACCTCCTGCGGTACGCCGTCCTGCCCCGGGAGGTCGTCTGCACAGAGAACCTCACCCCGTGGAAGAAGCTGCTCCCATGTGGCTCAAAGGTAATGGCAAATCCTGCTGCCTCGTTGGGCCACTCCCAACAGAGCTGGGTTCCCCACAGCGATCCGGGAGCGTGCACTGGGAAGTCTCAGCAGAGCTTTTCTCTCAGTGGGAGCAGAGAACAGACCTGAGGCTGAGTTTCTGCTTTTCTCCCTGCAGGCTGGGCTTGCTGTGCTGCTGAAGGCCGAGCGCTTGTTCCACAGCAGCTACCACTCGCAGGCAGTGCACATCCGCCCCATCTGCAGGGTGAGTGTGAGGCTGGGGGCTCCCTCCTTTAACACCCCCCAAGAGAAAATCCAGAGCCTTCTTTTGACACAAGGTTTGCCCAGCTCCCCTGTGTCTAACACAGCTGTGGTCCTGCTTCCCCAGTCTCTCCCACATCCTGATGGGATTCTTGTAATCCTAGTGGAGTTCCAGCTCCCTCCTGGTGTCCAGTCCCTGCAGAAGGTGTGATCAGAGCTGCCTCTCTTTCTGTTGTCCAGGATGCCTCCTGCCTGGCTGTGTCCTGGGAGCTCAGACAGACTCTCACTGTGGTCTTTGACACCTTTTCCAGCGGCCAAGGGAAGAAAGGTAAGCTCGGTGACAGTGTGCTGTGGACCTCGAGTGCCCACGGCACTCCACTCAGCCTGCCACTGGCTTTCCCTCCTGCAGACTGGTCCCTCTTCAAGATGTTCTCTCGCACACTCACTGACGCGTGTCCTCTGGCATCGGAGAGCAAGGTCTATGTTGACATCTCCCCTAAGAACAAGGTAATGCTCACAGATGAGAGAACACCCCCTGCTCTCTGAGTTCAGCCATTTCACGTCGCCCTGAAACATCCTCACCTCCACCCCCTGCATGGCTGGGCCACCCAGGAGCCCTCTGGGGCTAATGAATTGGGGGTGGTTTACTCTGAGCAGGGCTGAGGGGATGAGCGTGGTGTTAGGAAGAGCGCTGAGCTGGCTGTTGGGTGGGAAAGCTCAGAGCCATCCAGAGGGGCTTTGCCCAGCACTGCCAGTTACCTCAAGGGACACTTTTCCTTTTATGGTCCACATGCTTTTGCAGGAAAAGGAGTTACTGGAAGTGACCCCCCCTCCAGCAACTGTACACGAAGCTATTGTCCAGGGAGACAAGAGAACCTATGCTGTCTATGACCTGCTGAGCCCCTCGCTCTTCAACACATCTCGCAGCCTCAATGTGCAGCTGAAGTGGAAGCGGCCCCAAGACAGCTGTGAGTGACCAGACCCCTCCACCGGCACGGCAGGACGGGGCTCCAGGCCAAAACATCCCCTGGCACCGTCCCCCGTTCCTGTGTCCTTTTCTCTTCCGCAGCGGACCTGCCAACCCCCATACTGCATGCCCAGCGCTACGTGAGTGGGTACGGGCTGCAGACCGGGGAGATCAGCACGCTCATCTACAACACTCACCCCTACCGGGCCTTCCCCGTGATCCTGCTGGAGACTGTGCCCTGGTATCTGCGTCTCTACGTGCACACCCTGACTATCATCACGAAAGGGAAGGAGAACAAGCCAAGTAAGTAAACCCTCCCGGGAACACACGTGCCACCTGATTCTCTTTGGCACAAGTGGCTCATTCCAGAGATGGTTTAGTCCCTCCCCTGGGCCCCAGTGATCACTGGGAAACTGGACTGGGAAACAAAACATCTTGGGATGTTTTCCTAGCCTCCTATTCAACACTCAACAGCAGATGAGACTTTATTAAGTCTGTTTTATAAGAGGCACGTGGAATGTGTTTCGTAATCCAACAAGGGTCTAAGCCTAAGTGAATTGATTTTTATTGTAAAGGAGACTTGATTTAAAACTAATGACTGGGTCTTATTTTGCATTTGTGCCTTCCTTTATGAAGATCTGACTTTCACACCTGGCTTTTCCTGGGTCCTCAGCTCTAAAGACCAGCCAAATTTAGCTTTAACACATGCTTTTTGCTACTTGTGCATCTTCACTTGCCCAGAAAACTTCTCCCATGACAGTGAAAGCAGAAACACCCATCCCATGGGAGGTGTCCGGGCACCTCAAGGGAGGGTTGAAGGAGGAGGGAGCCAGACTCTTTTCAGTGGTTCCCAGTGAGAGGACGAGGGGCAACGGGCACAAGTTGGAACATAAGAGGTTCCACTCAAATATGAGGAGAAACTTCTTCACGGTGAGGGTGACAGAGCCCTGGAACAGGCTGCCCAGGGAGGTTGTGGAGTCCCCTTCCTTGGAGATTTTCAAAACCCGCCTGGATGCAGTCCTGAGTAACATGCTCTAGCTCTGGGCAATCCTGCTTCAGCAGGGGAGTTGGACTAGATGATCTCTATGGTCCCTTCCAACTCTAGAAATTCAGTGAAATTCAGTGAAATTCAGTGTGTGGGAGGTGTCCGGGCAGTGTGAGATTGGACAGGGTCCCACCAGTGCCATTGATGAATCTCTTTGGGGTTAGGTTACATCCACTACCAGCCAGCCCAGGACCGGAGACGGCCTCACCTCTTGGAAATGCTGATCCAGCTGCCAGCCAACTCTGTCACCAAGATCACAATCCAGTTTGAGAGGGCCTTACTGAAGTGGACAGAGTACACGCCTGACCCCAACCACGGCTTTTACGTCAGGTGACAACATACCTCAGCTCCTCGTCCCCTTCTGGGCCTATGAGGCCATGCTGCCCAGGTCTCTCTGGGGATGGGAAAAATGCTTGCCGTCTCTTTGCTGGCAGGACTGACACTAGGATGTCCTTTGTCTCCTTAGTTCATCTGTGCTTAGTGCCCTGGTGCCCAGCGTCATTGCGATGAAGGATGTGGATGTGGAGCAGAGCCCTCTCTTCACCTCGCTGTGAGTGTTCCTGTGCCGGGGAGCGGGGCCATATGGCAGTGACTACAAGCTGCTGGTCACTGTCATCCCCTCTGGTGAGCACCAAGCAGTGGTCCTGACACTCCCTTTTCCTTCTTCCACTCTCCAGGTTTCCTTCCTCTGATGGCTCCAGCTATTTTGTGCGCCTCTACACGGAGCCGCTGCTGGTGAACTTGCCGACGCCAGACTTCAGCATGCCCTACAACGTCATCTGCCTGACCTGCACCGTGGTGGCAGTGTGCTACGGCTCCTTCTACAACCTGCTCACCAGAACCTTTCACGTGGAAGAGCCGAGCCGGGGTGGGCTGGCCAAGCGGCTGGCCAACATCATCCGCAAATTCAGGGGGGTGCCCCCCCTCTGAGAGAAACCAGGGCAGCTGGTGCTGGCTGGGGGGCTCCGTGGGGAGACCCAGGGAGCAGAGCACTGCTGCCTCTTGTCTTAACTGGAAACAGCCTGCTCCATTTTGCTGCCTGGATCTGTCTTCAGGATCCAACAAGCTGAGAGATCGCTTCCGTCGTTAAGATGGGAAACGGCTCTTAGCCCATCGACTACTGAACTGCACTGTTACGGGTTTGGGAGAGCTGTAAGACTTCTTTTGGGGAAAGGGGTAATATATGTGCCAGGAATGACGCTGGAAGTAAAGTTGAGTGGTTTTGTACGTCGGTGCTGCTCCCGGTTGGTGTTATTTCCTCAGCCCCCCAGGCAGAGTTGACCCCGTGAGACCCTGTGAGCTGCTGAGTCTCTAGCACGCCACCGAGTCGGCTGGGAGGAGATGTGGAAGTGGGGAGGGAAAAGGGTGTGATCTGCAGTGAAGAGATTGGTTCATCTGCTCCACCATCTCACCTTCTACAACTGCCACAGTTCACAGCTCCCTCCTGCCACGCTTCCCCGCATTTGAGCCAGTTTGCAAATTAATTTGGGGGCAGTACCAAGGGTTTGGACATACCTCAGCCATACAAGTTAATTTGGGGGCAGTACCAAGGGTTTGGACATACCTCAGCCACACCAAGGGTTTATTTTCCTTCTCAAGGAAAAGCTTTTCTTGCTCCCAGCTTCTCTTTGCAGCGTTTTGAAACCCCTCCACCTGCTCACCCCTCTGCTGCAGCACACCATCCTCCTCTGCCTCCCCAGTACCATTTCTGCACATCTGCCCCCACGGTTCCCCTGCCCCCACGGTGTCCCCAAAGCTTTGGGGAGCCCCTGGGCTTGGCAAAACCCCAGCACAGAGCTGGGCTCTGCTGGTGGGCAGGAGTCTCTGCCCTCCCTGGGCTGGGAATGCAGGAAGGGCTGGCACCACTGCCCTCTTTGGTTGTTTTCATACGGTACAAAGTGCTGGCGGTTGGCAGAGCACGCTGGTGGTGCTGCTCAGCCCCTGGCAGAGCTGTTTTCTGGGGTACAGCCTTTGCATCTGGGCTGTGGGTTGTGTGATGGGAACAGACAGCTGCCTGCAAGCAGCTAAACAAAGCACACGGAAATTGTTAGAAGAAATATCCCCCGGAATCAAAGCACAGCACAGCCGGAGGTCTTTTAAAAGCTTCCGCTTGAACAGAAAGACCGTAAAACCCCCGTTGCCTCCTGTCTCACACAGAACAGTCTGTTCCCACTGCCCTGGGATTACCTTTCCCTTCCCTGCCCAAGATGCCCTTCTCTCTGCAGCTCCTTAGGATCCGCTCTGCTGGATGGCTCCGGATCCACTCCGCTGGATGGCTCTGTGCAGCCTGCAGAGCTGCCAAAATAGGAAATACTTGAGTTTGGGATGATCCCTCTCTCTCCCCGCTTGCTGAGGACGCCACAGGGCTGGGAGCTCACGCTGCTCCCAGCCACTGGGCAGCTGCTGCAGCCCCGCCAGCCAGCCTTCAAGGGAAAATTAGAATTTCTTTACAGGAAGCTAAAACTACAACCAAACCAAACCAAACCTGAGTGAGCACGCAGCTCCCACCACAGCACAGGGGGACACAGCCAGGAGGACCACCAAGATGTTGAGGGGCCTGGAGCATCTTTTACGAAGAGAGGTTGAGGGACTTGGGTCTTTTTAGTCTGGAGAAGGGAAGACTGAGGGGGGATCTGATCCACATCTATAAAACCCTAAAGGGAGGGTGTCAAGCAGATGGGGCCAGTCTTTTTTCAGTGGTGCCCAGGGATAGGACAAGAGGAAATGGGCCCAAACTTGAACATACGAAGTCCCATCTAACCAGGAGGAGGAACTTCTTCACTTTTGAGGGTGGCAAAGCCCTGGAAGAGGCTGCCCAGAGAGGTGGTGGAGTCTCCATCTCTGGAGACATTCAAAACCCACCTGGACAAGTTCCTGTCCAGCCTGGTCTAGGAGGACCTGCTTTGGCAGGTGGGTTGGACTAGATGATCTCCAGAGGTCCCTTCCAACCCCATATCATCCTGTGAGTCTCAGGCACGAGGGTCCACGGTGCAGTTTGCAAAAGGATTTGAAGATCTCAAGTTGTTTTGGGCTAAATCCCTCAGACTGCAACCACAGCAGGTCAGAGCAGCCACGGTGCCCCCAGCCCCACTCCCTGGCCGAAGCCTGGGTGCTGGGGGCATTAGGTGGGATCTGATAAACCCCCCCGAGCGCTGAGACTGGCACCACAAGCCAAAGCAGCCAAAAACAATGGAAGAAACATGGTACTGTGAAAACCCAAACATCACTTCTGCAGAAAAGAAAAGGTCCCTGTGCTGAGGATGATGAGGGCAACCTGTGCCAGGGCCAGCCGGGAGCCACCATGGGCAAAGGGGGCTGGAGATGGCATCGTGGCTTCGGGGCCATTCCCATGCGGTGCCATAAACCAGGAATTTAAACAGCCTGTGAAGAGGTCAGCCTGGAACAATGGCAGAGCAGGAGAGAAACCGTCCTGTGCTGGATTCAAACCCGCCGGGCCACTGGGGAGGTTGGTCTTATCACATCCATCGAATGCATGGGCCAGCCAAGCAGAAAACCCCGTGGGAAACATGAGTGGCCTCACAACCACGGCTGGGTGGGTTTTAAATGGCTGGGAAAACTCAAGATTACCCCAAAGAAGTTCTTCCTCGTATTGGAGTGGAACTTCTCATGTTCCATCTTGTGCCCATTGCCCCTCGTCCTGTCACTGGGAACCACTGAAAAGAGTCCGGCTCCCTCCTCCTTCAACCCACCCTTTAGAGACTTGTCAGCATTGATAAGGTCTCCCCTCAGCCTTCTCTTCTCCAGACTAAAGAGCCCCAGCTCTCTCAGCCTTTCCTCAGCAGGGAGATGCTCCAACCCCTCCATCATCTCTGTCTCCCTTCGCTGGACTCTCTCCAGCAGTTCCCTGTCTCTCTGGAACCGGGAAGCCCAGCACTGGACGCAGGATCCCAGCTGCGGCCTCCCCAGTGCCGAGCAGAGGGTAAGCAGCCTGCGAACAGCCGCCACAGGCAGAGCGCCCCGCAAACCCCACACAAAAAGCACAGAATTGTTTAAAAACCAAGAAAACACCCAAAAGACACCAGGCCAGGCGCGCACCGCCCCACCCCCGCCCGCACATGCGCGCTGTCCTCACGGCGGGGCTGCCCGCGGCGCCGCCTGACGGCGCGGCGCCCCCCCCGCC